ACCCAAATTGCTGAATATCCCAGACATATCGAACCTCCTTCAATTGATTTGTTCAATCTTTTAGCACATTCAAATTACCAGAATTGACTAATTCCGGTTCTCTTATCACTACTGAATAAACAAAAAAGTAAATAACTAAGAACGCATTTCAACAAAGCACTACTGAATAAACAAATAAGTAAATAACTAAGAACGCATTTCAACAAAGCACTTTCTCTTCACTGGCTCTCATTTGATATCCACCTTACATAGCAAGGGTCGTGGGTAGAAAAGACCGTAGAAAACATTGAAGGAAGACATTTAGATAACACAGACATACTTGTCCTGGCTTCATTCGAAATCCTTGTCTTCAAGGTACCGATATTCGAAAGTAAATGATTCCTTTTTTCGTTGTGACCATTTTTCGTAATCAAAATACACATAGGTTCCCTGTAAAGATGAGAACGATTGAAGAAAAGAACAGCTACACAGCATGAATCAAATAACCTGCTCAAAATCGTCCGTGATTTGCTTCGGTTCCTCGTGCCGTTGAAACCACGTGAGATACTTGGTATGAAAGCGCCATGACAACTTCTTCAACGCCTTCGCTGCTAGCAACTGCGCTCTCGTTCCCTTGAATGTTCGTACTGATAACAACCGCGGTGTCATTGACTTTGTACGGAAGTCAGGTTTTTGTGCACCAACATGTGAGTTCACATAAGAAAAGATATGAAGCACTAAAATGCTCTGTGTCCTGGCCTCAGTTCCGAAGCTGTTAAGCAGTATAAATCTCGCAATAGCCCATTTATGAATTAAGCCCCAGTATGGTGTTCAGCAACATAAGCTGCCTTAGGATTATGGCATTTCAAGAATTTCTTCAACTAACCTCCATATAGTAGAATATGAAGAAGAGGGTTTCTGGACTAAGCCTCAGGTAGTATTCAAGTGTGTCGACATTTTGTGCAGATACCTTAAAATCCAAGCATGAGTAAGGGGACATTTCTAAAACATATGAGAGAACGCTACAATTGTGAAATTCTGTGAGCTAAAAAGTTTACGCCAAATTGCGCCTTTGCATTGCGTGCAAAATACGAAAATAGTACAGTGCAAAATGAAAGCTAAATTCATCAGTTTCTACCAGCTGGACAGCACTCGTGCGGCCCTGGGAAACTATAGCAACATTCATTTTTCGGCGACAGTGCAGCGCTCCGCTAAGGCTGAACTCGGAGAGGGAGCGGTAGTGGAGGGAGGGAATGATTCCCCGAGATCAGCCTCAACATAGTGCAAACGGGGAAGGAGCCTATTAGCACTTGCACTAAAAAGGACAGACGGCTTTCAGCGC